ATGACTCCTTTGCGGCACTGCAACCAGGTTCTAGGGATGACTCCATTATTGCACTGCAACCAGGTTCTAGGAATGACTCCATTATTGCATTGCAGCCAGGTTCTAGGGCTGTCTCCATGATGCTGACCATCTCTGTGATCTCTATCCTGACTTGCTTGGACTGACAGTCCCATCTTTTCCTCCTGGGAAAGAAGGTTTTTTTTTTGTCTTGCTGAAGCTAACTGTAGGGCCGCCCAGGATCTTGCCTCTGCAGCTATTTGTTGAGTTCACATTTGCTGGTGTCCTGTTGAACTTCCTTTGGATCTGGTTCTTTTCAGCGGAGTGCCTCACCCATTTAAAGATGTTGCCATCATACTTAGTGATGTGACCTCACAACACCACCAGCCTTGATGTTCCCTTGATATTCACAGACCTTGCTTTTTGTTTTTGCCTATTTAGCCTATTTTTTTGAATCAACCTGTTCTGGAGCAGGTGGGATTTGAACCCGGGCCTGTTGGCCTGGGGTTAGAGACACTACCACGAACAAGCAGGCACACACTCACAGACTGCACTACATTTATTTCCACCACCAGGGAAACACCTTATGTGGCTATTGAAACATGAACAAGCAAAACCTGTTGCGGGCAATGCTGTCATTAAAATGTGAAAGGGAGAGGTAGGAACAGAGGGAAGGGACTAAATCAATATATAGTCGGAGGGGAAAATCCAAGCCCCCAGCCACACCCCCTCCCCTCACCAACAGCCCCTCCCACGGTGCACACCTCTTCCTAAAGGTATCACGAGTATTGGTGGAAACCGTGCGCTCCATCTCCAAGGACACGCTGGCTTGAACATAGCTGTGGAAGCGGGGCAGACAATCAGCCAAAATGACCTCCTCCATGACCAACCTGTTTATAGCCAGCCTGGCCAGGCCAAGGAGCAGACCCACGAGGAGATCCTCTGACCTGCCCACACTCTTTTCACTGGGTGCCTGAAGATCAGGAGCATGGGACTAAATTACAACCAGAAACACAGCTGAAGGCTCTTTAGGTAATTCAAAAGGGAATGCACCGCAATCTGGGGTTGCAAGGGTCTGCTGCATGCAACACCTTCCCTGAGGGAAAGAGGGAGGACTTCCACCCGATGGCCAATAGGCATGCCAGGTGCATCCGAGTGGTGGACGTAAGAGTTGAGGTAGATGGTATGCAGCTGCCATTTATACAGGAGCTGTTGTTTTGCCTCCCTGAAAGACATGCAAGACATATTCCAGAGGCAGCTCAGGTTATCAGGCACAGGCGCCTGTTGGTATCCCACCAGCCAGCATCCACATCCAGAAGATCATCAGCCACCATTTCCGCCACCTCCAGCGAGATACCACCACCAGACACATGGACCCCTCCCCTCCCCTGTCT